GAAATTTCCCACATGCTGTCCCATCCTTCCTCACATTTCCCCACCACCCCCACATTTGATGCCTTATAAAACTGGGCCCAAGGTGAGCTATAATTTAGAGCAACCTTTGATCTTTATAACAATAGCATTAGTGTGGTCTGTAACTGAAGCAACAGTTCTGATTTTTTCCAGTCATTCAGCTCAGCAAATTAGTCAGCTTTATGCCAAGTCCCTTTCTTAGAGTTGCAACAATATTCACATACTTTTGATTGATCACAGACATCTTAGACAGACTTCTTAGACATAGTCTGTGGGCCCTTGGGGTCCACGGACCACAATTTGAAAACCACTGATCTAAATGTCTTGCTGTCCTCCTCACAATATCAGTTCTCCTTTTATTCAATAAAGGACGCTATTCCTTACAGAAGCTGAAAGGACTTTGGGAGGAGATTTTATCTGGCCTTTTCTTAACACAGCCCTTTACCACTAATTGCCATCTACTATTTTAGGGTTCTAACCTGCAAAATATTAAGTGCCTTCCACTCTCAATCATGATGTCTGGCCATGATATCATGGTATTTGCATCACAACTCACTTTGCCTTGATTACATTTTAGTGCTGCTCTGTCTCAATATTTCTAGCATCAAGGAGAAGAATGTCATACCGTATGACACTGTATGCAGGGTACCTATGTATCAAATCAGAATCAGCCCTACAAGGTGGTGCTGCAGAGCCACTGTATAGGAGACTGTGATAATTTTCTTTGGTTGCGTGTCTACCCTCATTATGACACATCCAAGAGATTAATTTGCCTTAAATGGAGAAGAGAGAAGAAAGCCACAGACTCTCCACTTCTTCCCCTGTAGAAAACTATGTGATACCTTTCCTTCTCTGAAGGAAATGGATGAATGAATTGTAGTATGGAATTCTATGGGTGGAAAAAAAATTGGCACCTGCACTCAGTAGATCCTTTGCCACTGGACATTTTAAAAAAAATAATGTAAGGTTAAAAATCCATTGAATTATACAGTTTTGAGGATAAAAACAGACACTTTAACATCTTCTGTTTTAAAATAAACAAAAAATAACAGTTACTTGGGAAATCTGTTGCACAAATTTAAGACTTAAACTTTAAGTTTTATATACCAGAAAAGAAACATACTGTCTTGGAACAGTCACCATTTTTTCCCCTGCATCTTGATCACAAGGTTTCACTGCCACCTCTTTATAGGTATCACAAGTGAAATTAATACAAGGACTGCAAAAATTAAAGTGGATTCATAGGTACGGTCTAGATATTCCATGCTATTGACATAAATATTAAAATCAAGGACTAATATAAGATTTGGCTTAGTTTCCATGCTTGTCAAACAGAACTGGCTCATCATTGAGCAGATTAAATAGAAGTTGAAGAGTTTCCTCATGTAACAGTTTCAGAGAAACAGGGCCACTCAGCTCAGTTCTGAAGATGCATTTGCTGCTGTGGGTGTTGAGAAATAAGTTCGTCGCTGGAATGCACAGATAAGCTATGAAATATCTATGTAAAAGTCCAGGAATCACAGTGGCAAAAACAAGTGCTGCAAATAAGTTTTGCTACCCAAATAAATTACAACCATCTTATAATATCACAGTAATATCCCAGCTCCCTTTAGTAGTTTATTAAGGGCTAATCTTCCACATATTTTTTGTTCTCTCATCATCCACCCAGGAGATGGGGGTGGGGGGGCAGTAGAGCGTTTTATTTGGATAGAGATGTTGTTCGTGTGTGTGTGATCCTTAGTTCCTGTGGGTATTCATTCCACAGTCTCAGACAAGCCCAAAGAAAATTCTGTCTCCAATATAGATAACTTTAACCTTAGAGCTCTAGCATCTACCTTCCTCTAAACATACACAAAACCAAGGCACGATTTGCAATTGGCAACTAAAGCAAATTTGGAGGGGCCAAAGCTAGATGGCTAAGGAAGCCTGAGAGATGCAGCACTGATGGTCATCACCTAGAAAGAGAGCACCAGCAAATCAGTGATACCAGTAATACAGCACCAGCTGAGCTAATGCCCCTTTTCATGTTGCATAAGGGCTGCAGCACATGCTGTAACACTACAGTTTTCCTTTGCCCCAATGTCTCTTCATTTGCTCAATCTAAAACATTTTCTGACATTTACTCATTCATTCATTCATTCATTCCAGGGCTGTTCTAGGAAACATCTGTACAGCAAATGTGTCTTAGATACACAGCTTGGTTGAAAGAGATTTCCTCTTTGGACTGGGCAGCCTGAAATGATGATGACCTATGCAAATAGTGCATGATTGATACTTGCAGTATTGCTTACCACAGTGCTATCTTCTGTTTCACCCCAAACATTTTAAATGGATTTTTGAAGCCTCTGAATGAACTATCCTGGCCTTTTCATTAACCCAACTAGCATGGAAAGCTGTGGGCCCCATGTAGCAGGTGCTGTGGGTTAACAATAGGGGCACTGTTTAATCTGAGAAAGGCAGGGAGTAGAACAGAGCTATGGATAAAAAGAGACTGGATCTTTTATGAGGTCAAGAGAGGCATTTAAAATCAGGAGGCGTAAAGGGAGGTACCAGCTATGAAAAAGCAATTCTTTCTTGCCACACTTGCTTAGACTACAGCATGAAAATATGCCTTGTAATTCATTCTGAGGAAGACAAAAGGAATTGAAGCATGATAGCCAAACAAAAGGAGTTTGTTGATTTGCATAAGATGACTTTTACATCTAGGGGTTAGAGTTAGTTTTATGCTGACTTGCTGTAAACTATTTCTCACTTTTTAATCATGATTACCTCCTTAAAACCCAAGGAAACATCTAACAAGTACACACACACTAATGTTTTAGGGTTTTGGTTCTTGGGGGAGGGGGAGACTTTTTCTGTAGGAACAAAGAACATATTTACATACAATTTAGACTTTTTAAAATGTCAGCTGACTCTATTACTAAAAGGCCTGGCTAGGCAATCAGAAGTAAAGAGCTGAAAGTTAGAAAGGGTCCACCTAGTGTCTGTAACAATTGTGAAAAGTTTGTGAGATCAAGCCACTAATGCATTGAATAGTCCTGCTATTAAATTGCTAAATTGGAAAGAAAGCAGAGAACCTACTGTACAGTGTAGTCCCCTGTGATGAATGACTGCATTGTTGGGAATTACTGTTTATTTAAGGAGCAATGCACTTCTCCACGGGCAGTCTCGCAGCACAGGTTTGATGTCACTCTGAATTTTACAAACCAGTTTTTCTGAAAACCCACAGCTAAAGCTACTCTTCCTCTTCCCTCCCACCACATTTTTTTCCTATTCCCTTTTCTTTCTTCTTCTTTCTTTCTCCTTTTCTTGTGCCCTCTTGGGCCAAGTCTGCTCTACAAACTTTTGCCAGCAAAGCTCAGCTGCCTGGGGTGTGATCCCTACCTGACATACCTGTCCTGTCAAAAGCTCTTAGCATAGATGCAGTGACACTGGCAAAGCTGCTTTTGTCAGAACAGCTTTTCACTTGGGAAGGCTAGAATGACCCATGTGCATAAAAGGCTGATTTTTCTAGTACAGCATGTGAGCAGTACTCTGCTATTAGAACATCACACACAGCAATACTGGTGAATACAGCAGGGGCCTGAATTTTCTCAGTCCATTGCATGCTCCTGCTTCCCCCACAGCCCCATTCACGGAACAGAGATCCAGCAGCTTTTCTTCTCTCCTCTGTCCCCTCTTTAGAAGGAAGGGAGCAACCACTGTGAGCACAACTCTGAGATAAGTGTCACAAACAAGCTGTGCTGGATTGCCTCAAGCTGGAAGCTTTTGGGTCTCATGGAAAGCCACAAGCAGGCTTGTTGTTCAAAACATACAAAACCTTCCAGGCCACTGGTGCTCAACCTTTAGCCCCGTGGGGCAGGGCTGGCCTATGGGCCAGTTCCCGAGCAGGGTCAGTGCCTGTAACGGGGCCCTGAGCTGCCGCAGTCCTGTGCATCTGATCCAGCATGCAGGGTCACGCTATCAGGCTGCCCCCATGGGTCTGGAAATTGGGCAGCAGGGGAGTGGCAATTAATGCTGCCACCACGCCCCTGCTGCCAAATTTTCAGCTGGGGAGGAGGGGCCCGGTGGGCCAAATGAAACGGCTCTGGGAGCTTTGGCCTACAGGCTGCGGGTTGTGCTCCCCTGTTCTGGAGCCTTTCCCAACAGAAAGAGCAAGTCTCTGCCCTGAAGACTTTTGCAATCCTGTCACATGCAAGCGGCACGGATGGTGAGAAGCTCAGCAGACCACTTCCTCTGTTTTCTTTTGCAGACCCTCCTGGCCTTGTTCCTGTTCATGGTGCCCCCCTCCCTGCCATCACCAAGTGGGGGTTATAGCTCTGCTTGGTGGGCTTTGACCCATGTCCCAGAATGGCCTAGCAAAAGACAAATTCCAGGTGACTTTGCTGGATGGGGGGGAGCCCAGTTGCCTCACAAAACCTTTTCTAGTGAACGTTCAGCCCTTGCCTCAGCCTCTCTTGGAGCAGAGAGCGTCCCCTCGGTCCCCACCCCTGCCTCAGCTCCCCTCCCACAACCTCTCCTCATCCCAGGGGCTCAAGATGTCCCAGCCTTCATGAACCCGGCAGGACTGCGCCCACTTGTGTGTGGAGCCACCACCAGTCCTCACAGAAGTGAGACGCCTCATCCCCCTCCCCCACCTTTTTCTTTTGCTGCTTTACCCCAGCTTGAAAGGCCGGGCTGCCCCCTCTCCCCTGCCCCAGGCAGAGGGCCGCCCTGACGGGGCTGGGAGCTGCCGAGCCCAGGCAGGCAGGGAGCCGCCCGGGGGCGGGGAGCAGGGAGGGCACCAAATTCAAATGCAAAGGGAGGAGGAGAGGGGGAAGGAGGCAGAGGGGAGGGAAAGAGGGAGGAGAGAGTGGGTGGGGAGAGCGAGCGAGCGAAAGAGGCAGAGGCAGGGAGCGGGCAGGCAGGCGGCAGGGAGCGGGGCGGAGAGCGGCGCTGGGGCAGGGGCAGGGGCAGGGGCAGGGGCAGAGGCAGAAGCAGAAGCAGAAGCAGGCGGGAGAGGTGCCCCCTCGTGCGGTTGAGACCCGGGCCGGCGCCGGCAGCATGGTGGACCGCGGCCCCTTGCTGACTTCTGCCATCATCTTCTACCTGTCCATCGGGGCGGCGATCTTCGAGGTGCTGGAGGAGCCCAACTGGCGGGCGGCCACGGACGCCTACAAGCTGCAGAAGTCGCAGCTGCTCAAGGAGTTCCCGTGCCTGGGCCAGGAGGGGCTGGACAAGATCCTGCAGGTGAGGGCGCAGAGGGAGGGAGGCCGGGCCGGCCGGCCGGCCGGGCAGAGGTGGTCCCGGGCCTGAGCGGGCAGGTGCCGCCGCCGCGGGGAGGGCGCGGGGGGCAGCCCTCCCCCCGTACAGATGTGCCAACGTGTGCACACATACTCATGCACACACACATATGCGCACCAGTGGTGGCCTTGGGGTTGTTGGGGCCCTGGGCAAGAGTCATTTGCAGCCCCTCACAGTCTTAGTTTTGACGAAGTCCGACGCTTGTTGCAAAACTTTGGGCCCCCAAAAGTGTGGGGCCCCGGGCAGCTGCCTGGCTTTCCCTCCTTTAAGGCCGCCGCTGTGTGCGCACGCATACTTGTACGCGTGCTCCTGCGCACACACAGGTCTGTACCTGCATGTGCATGGACACATACACATACAGGTATGCACATGTGTGGACACGCATACGTACTCATGCACGCGCGCGCGCGCGCACACACACCCCCTCAAAGCCCAAGCTGCCCACCAGAGGAGCATGCTAATGGTGGTCTTACCAGGGCAGTGCCCTGGCCCTGGGCAAAGGGGTGCTTGCCTGCCCTGGGTAGGGGGAGAAGGAAGGGGCAGGTGGCTCTGACCGAACCCCGTGTTCACTTATAGTCGCTCTGCGCCTGTTCTCCGCGGGCACTGCGGGACCGCCAGCTGCCTCATTTTGGGGCTGTCTATGGGATTGGGGTTCAAGCCTGAGGAATTTGACTTCCTAAAAACTATTCTCCAGCATTGCATGGGGGGAGATCTTTCATTCCCTCTGAGAACAGAGGCATTTTCTGGTTGGTTTGGGGGGGGGGGTTCCCCCCCCCCCCCATGTTGAACAGGTCTGCTTCTTCTTACTACACTTCTCTAGGCTTTACACCTTCACTGTCTGCTCCCCAGCTAGCCAGCCTGGTGAACTCTCCCTTTGTGCATTCCTCTAGCCATCCTTGAAAGGAGACTAGCAAAGCTAACAGTTTCCCTCCTCTTTTTTTTTTTTAATCCCAGCATGGATGCTTTGGGACTTCTTGGTGACAAAGAGAAAGCTGAGCCCTTTCTTTGTTTGCTGTGTGTGTGTACGTGTACCCCTCCTGAGCACTTTGGAGGGGAGTCACTCAGAAATGTGTCCCTGGCATGGGTGGGAAGCTCACAGTTTCATTTGTATTTTTGTGAAGCTTAGAATAGGGGAAAAGGTAAAAACTGATGCGCTAATCGCTAATTATCAAGAAACCTTTTAATATGGCAGTTAAATTTAGCAGACCGTTTAATCTAGTAGTCCGCAGCATATGATTCCCTGTAGGCAATAACAAGTAGCCTGCCTTGGACAGTATCATATTTAACTCTCCCTGTTAAACTTCAGTTTTAACTAAAACTTCCTGTGGCTAGTGACAACATCAGAAGGTTTCACAGTCAGTGCTCATGCCTCATGGACCATTGGTTTAACATGTGGCAAATGGGGTTATTATTATTATTTTTATAGCCTCCATACCCTCCATGATTTGGAGCACAGGGCTTTGTCACAACCATGAGGAGGGGACCTCTAACCTTGCTGTACATGGAATTCCTTTTAATTCATGATCCATTGTGTGTTACTGATTAAACACTAATTCTCTAAGTTTCCTGGTATGTACCTAGAGTATCCACTAATTGGCACCACTGTGTACTCCATCTGCTTGAAGTCTAGGGAATAGTTTTTATAGTTAAAAACCAAACCAACAACCCACACATTTGAGGAAAGGAGCCCTTAACATGGAGGGAAAGCAGTGTCAAATAGAGAATTAAGAAAAGTGTGATTGTCTGGATCCTATTTTACCTCTGAAGAAGCGTTGACTTAGGTTTTCCAGTGTTCACTCTTATTAGTTATCTCCTCTGCTAGCGTGCTCAGCATTGTGAAAGTTTGGAACAACCTATAGCTTTTGCTTCTAGGAGTCTGCAATTTAGCTTCTTTTTTTTTAACTTTCATTTACTGTAAATCTATAAATCTATCTGATACCTGAGGTGACTAACATAATTGACCAACGTTTTCTTGCCACCACTTTAGTATGTCCTTGTGTGATACAATGGAAAGGGTGAATAAAGGCTTGAAGTTTTGAAGGGATTGTTGGAGGTTGGGGATATGTACATGGATATATGTACATTGCTGAACACAAGTTGTCTCTTACCTGATTTATAGCCCACAACACCTACCATCCACACAGATGAAAACCTGGTGTGGGTTCAATGTACCCAAATAATTTACCTGACTGGGGTCCCGTGTTAAAACCAAGTTGCAGTTCTAATTCGAGCTGAAGTTTCCTCACTCTTGGCAGTGTATGTGGTCAGTCCTGCTGCCCCCAAGTATGCAGTGGAGCTCGGGTGGTGCAGCAGTAGCCTGACTTGCTTTCCAGCAGCTCTGGCAGTAGCGGCTCCTTCCGGCTGCTGCTGCTGGACCCTCCCTTCCACATACCTGCTCCAGTGGCTCCTCCAGTTGGTCTGGAACCCATGCTGCATGCAGCATGGATCCCACAACAGCCAGAATGGGCACCATGTGTGGCACAGTCTGTCCAGAGCAGCAACTGCGCTGCATGTGGCACCTATCCTGGCAGCTCTGGGACTGCACTGCATGTGATGCATGTTCTAGCCAGTCCAGGACCTGCTCTGCATGCGGTGCTTGTGAGCACTGTGTGCAGCACAGGTTCCAGACCAGCTGGAGCAGATGCCATGTACAGTACACATCACAAAGGAGACACCGCATATGGCACAGTCTAGCTGGGGTGGGCACTATGTGCAGTGCAGCTGCTGCTCCTGTTGGGCTGCACCACACACAATGCCCATTCCAGTTGCTTCAGGAGCCACACTGTGTGGCATAGGTCCCAAACTGGCTGGACCAGCTGCTGAACCAGGTGTGCTGGGAGGGGATGGGGGAACAGGTCTGTGGGCCTGATCTGGCCTGCCAAGGGATTTTGTCCAGCCTACAACTGTTCCCTTGGTCCTTCCTGGCCCAGATGTGGGATGCAGCCCAGGCTGTGGGGCCATGTGACTGGTCCTGCTGCCCCCAGACATGTAGTGGGGCTGGGGAGGCACAGTTGCAGCTTGACTCGCACGTAGCAATGGCTTCTTCATGCTGCTGCTCCTGCTGGACCCAGTCCCACTGCCCAGGCACCCTGGCCCATCTGCGCCACACCCACTGCCATGGGCAGAGCCCACGCAGGCAGGGCTCATGGCTAGGAGGATGGGATGGGGCCATAGGCAGGCAGAGAGCAGTGTCCAGGAGCAGGATGGGTGGGTGGGGCTGAGTTCATGGAGCGGTGACAGCACGCAGCTGGGATCTGGGGCAGAGCCATGATTGGCTGCCCATGTGTCCCTGTGACAGGTGCTGGCCCCATGGGCAGAGACGTGCAGAGAGCTGATCACATCTCGGCTCTGGCCCCACCTGCCTGTTCTGCTCTTGGATGCCACTCCCTGCTTGCCCATGGCCCCATCCCATCTACCTGACTGTGCACCCTGTCTACACAAGTCCTGCTGGTCTCCATGGAGACCCTGGGATCACGGGATGGTGACAGTGCAGGGCTGGGGCTGGGGGCAAAGCCATGATCCACTCCTCATATGCTCCTGCCTCTGGAACTGGTGCCTGCCGCAGAAGTGTGCAGAGAGTGAATTGCAGCTCAGCCCTGGGCTCCAGCCCCAGCCCTGCACTGTCCCGTCCCCGTGATTCCAGCCCTGACCCTGGCTGCCTGCTCCACTCCCAGATACCACTCCCCAGGCACCCGCAGCTGAGCTGTCCAGCTGAGCACTGAGCAGAGCTGAGCCTCTTGAGGAGTTTTGGTGAGCTGCTGCAGGATGGGGGAGTGCAGACCCAGCCTGTAACAGCTCACCAAAACCTAAGTGGCCCTCGGGCCCAAATAATTGCCCACCCCTGGTCTAGAAGATGCAAATCCACCCTACCTGTTGTAAATGAAATCAATGGAGGGTGATAGTTCTCCAGTGTGCTTCCCATAATTCCCTGGAAGACGGGTAGCTTAATCTGCACCTGAGATAACTAGCTTAGAGAGAATCCAAGAATATCTCAGCACACAGACCCATGTGATATGCCTCTTATATGGATAAACAGGATGACACATTAACACAGGTAGGCTTTGTAGTAAGAATACTTATTTAGACCTAGGCAGTAGTTACCTTGTTTAATTATAATGAAGACATTTAATACAAAGAATAATCGAAAGGCCATGGAAGCTGTCTAGAAGCCATAGCATAGGATGGATAAATGAGGTGCACAGAGTTGAGTATTACAGTAACTAAACTATTTCTATTGCCCAAGGTAGCCTGGGTAAGTTCAGACTGCAACATGGTGGGTGCGTCTACACAAGACACTGTGGACTGCGGGGCAGGAACTGTGACACCGCCGCTACTGCACAGTAGAGGCAGAAATGACGTGTGGTACCAGAACTGCGCAGTACTGGCAGTTACTGCAGTCATTTAGTACTTGATTTAGCAAGTACTAAAAGACTGCCTAGTAACAACTTATATGGGCTCAATCTCCATCTCTCTGCTGACTATTTTCAGATCTATCACATGTTCAGTGTTTAGGCCCATCTCCTCACACATGTTCGTTCTGTTTCCAGTTCAAACTCAATTTAGCTTAAAAAATGCCACCTCAGTTTTTCTTTTTCTTCCTCCTCTTGGCAACAGATGGTAAATTCATCATCCTCCCTGACACAAGCAACCTTGCAACAGTAAAGTCACGTTTATGAGGTTGTTGGTTGTAGCACACAACCACCACCAGACTCTCCCTATGCCTGACGAAGGGTGTTTGTGCCTGAAAGCTTGGAATGAACAATTTTTCCAACTATGTAGTTGGTCTAATAAAAGATATCATGTCTACCCAAAGAACCTTGTCATGGTTATGAAAATTTTGTATACCATGCTATAAGTGTGTATGACACTTCTTTCTGAGGACAAAGATGGGGTGAAAACTGGCTCCACTGAAGTTGGGGACAAAAGCCTACCCTGATTTCAGTGAGGCCAAGTTTTCACTTGAGTTTCTGCATCATGTATAGTTTGGGTCATAGTCAAATTTTCTTTTCTCAGCCAATACCCATGATTTTGCTGAATCCTATTTTTTAAAATGCTGCTAAAGCCTTGCCTTGCCTTGTGTCTTGCCCCCCCACCCCCGGTCTTGTGCCTATTACTAATATCCTGGTTATTCTACCTTGACTCATTTTACACCCCTCTAGCACATCCAGAACGCTACTAGTAAAAAAAAGAAAAAACTTTCTCTTCCTCTCCTGTATCTCAACTGTTATGCCCCTTCTCTTAGTTCCCATGTATGGTTTTAACCTTCTGATCTTGCCTCTGAGGTTCTGTGTGACACCAGTCCTACTCACATCTCCACTCTTGTGTCTTTCTCTCATTTGGTCTGTTCTCCTCAGGCTTACTGTTTATGTTGTGACAAGTAACAACAGAAATGTTTTGGACAGCTTTGTACAGCTGGCCCTTTGAAGAGTGTCAAACACACGTCCTTTGAAGTACTTTGTAAGAGGACCTCTTGAAATGAATTCCTCTCTGAAGCATTTAATTTTGGTTGCATGTGCACAGGGACATGGGACCTCAAAGTCCTCCAGAATCCCCCAGTTCTCCACTCACCTTCCTCTTTCTCCTGCTTCACAAGGGAGGTAAAATGGGGTGGACAGTCTGGCAGGTTTACTGACAATCTGCTAAACTGCCCAACAGCTGGGTCATGCTGCTAGTCCTGCTGCTGTCACCAGGATGCACTTTCCAGCCCAATCCCCACCACCTCCTTCATTCTGGTAAGAGGGGAGAGGAGAGGTTCAAGGGCTTAGGACTGGAATCCCAGTTCCAGGGGCTGGGGAGCCACTGCACAGCACCACAGGCTGCCTGCACTCTTTTGCCAGACCCTTGCTGACTTCCACTGGGGCTCTCTAACAGGGAGCCAGAGGCTTGTTTTACTTTTAAGGAAGATTCAGCATTGGGGAGGTTTCCCAGGTGAGAGAAACAATGCCCTTGATGAGTTGGCTGCAGGGGAATAGGCAGCCAGGGGAAAAAACAGAGACTGTGAGTGCCTGTTGCAGGGCTAGTTGCTCTGCAGTGGTATGGTAGAGCAGACCCTTGCTACAGGCAGCCAGGGCACTGCTTAAGCAGTCAAACCAGCAGTTGCAAACTGTCCAGGAGCCAGCCCTCAGGTCCTAACTATAAACCCCTGCAGGTGACCTCCTACACAGTGACCCCTTATGCTTATCACCACTCTGCCTTCCCCTGTCAGAGTCCTGCATCCACCCTGCCACTGGAGGCAGCCTCTCCAGCTCCTAGTCTCCACTAAGTCTTTGGTCTGGGGAGAGGAGGAGGACAGGGGCTGAGAATCAAGTATCCCAGTGGCAGGGCATCCTTGTTGCTACTGCTGTCTCCCATCCCACAAGACTTTCTGCTCTGGCAAAAGACATTCTCTGCTCCCTATAGTGCCCCATGGCTGGAGAGGTACGGCTGCATGTAGTCATAGCAGTTTTGAAGTCTTCCAACCAGAGCGTGCAGCAGCATTTCTTGTATGTCCTGTGGCTGAAATGTTCTCTTCTGCTGCATTTTCAAGTCTCTTATACTTGGGAACCTTTCAGCAGTTACTTTTGTCCACATACTTCATTGTTCATTTGGTATCCTTCCATTCTCTGTGCTTGTCTTCTCCTCTACAGTCCACTGGTGTTGAATAGCTACCTTGAAAATGTGTGCCAGTTGATTGTTGTCTGTTCTTTACTATCTTCCCTTAAAATCCAGTTCTGTCTGAAGCCTACCAACAAACTTCCATAGACCTTACTTTAAAAATAGCTAATAATAATACACTCCAAAAACCACAAGAAATGCACAAAATAAGTCACTGGTCCCAACACATCCTCCGTAACATGATGGTGGAGAAGAAAAGTAACTGGAACAGCCTGCATGCCATGAACAGGAATCCTTTTCTCTCATCCAGCAGTCTGTTTTGATATAGTATCCAATTAAGGATACCATCTATCCTTAATTAGTCTATGGAGTATAGAGGATACTATCTATCCTCTATAGTCTATATGGGGCAAGTCAGCTCTGTGCAGAGTTGATTAGCTTGTCAAAGCCTTGTGCTAACACAGCTCAACTCCATCCAGTTTTGAATCTAATGCTTGCAAAACTTGACATGCCTTGGATATTTCAGCATGTTACTGCCCTGTTGTATGAATTTGAGTGTATAAGCCACTACATTCACAGTTAGTATGGAGCACTTCTGCATGGTACTGTATTGTGCTATGTAGAGACATGCAAATAATTTCTTTGAGCATAGGAGCAATGGATATTCTTCATGCAGAGAGGCTGAAGATTTGGGTCTGGAATATGAATTTAAGCTCCAAAATGCCAGGGACTTTATCAATGTATATGTTTATCAGATCACCTATAGACTAATATTCCTATCCTAACATGTTTAAATTTTCTTTTAAGACAGTATCATGTCAAGTTTAGTCCATAAAACCAGCTCTCACTACCCTTAATGACAACAGCCATTCACTGAAATAAAAGTAAGTTCTCATGGAGACAGGTTAACAAATGTTTCCTACAGTGTTTGTAAACCAAACCAAGTATATGCTAGAGTAGAGAGCCTACAAATGAAATAATCCATTGGTTTTCACCATTGAACTTAGCAAAATTAAGGTAAACAAGAAAGATAGTTCAGCAAAAAAAAAACCCTGTTCTCTTTGCATATTACAGTTTTAATAACTTGATGAGGTCTTTGTAATAAAGATACAGAAATATTATTTTCTATAAATGATTCCTAGCTACTAATTTTCAAGTGTCTCTTTGGAGACTTGTACAGAATTAGCCTAATGTACACAGTGAGTTTCTGTGTTTATGTAAATGGTTGCTTTCTGCCACTTGATACTGTACTTCTGGGTAAAGCAGATAAGCCATGCTTTAGCTTTCCTTTGAGCAAAGACTCTATCTGACAATTTTACACAGGCTTGCAAGGAGACTTGGGGGTAGCCACGTATACCAGTGGCTGGCAATGTCTTCCAACAGCAGGCCAGAATGGCTCAGCTCAGGTCTGACACAGGCCACCATTAGGACCTGGTCGCCCACTTTTCCCTGTCACCTGGCCATGGCATGGCAAGGGCAAAGCTTTCGGCTGTCAAATGCTGCTAGATCCAATGGTTCTGTGGGCCAGATTCAGCCAATGGGCCATAGGTTGCTGACCCTTTACGTATACAGTACTGGAGTTTGTTTTCTGAGTTTCCTTGTTCAAGGATGGATATGCAACTTTCCACATTCAGGAAGGTTCTGAAGATTTAAAAAAAAAAAAGTACGGCATAGGTGTGCTGGCTATTTTTCTGAAGTTATTTGGCTAAAAATTATATTAGGTATGTTATCCACAGTCATGCACTCAAAAAATGGAAGGGCTCATTGCCATTTTATGTTTTTATTTATTTTATTGTTGTAAGCCTTTTGCTTTGCCACCTTGCAATGGCTAACTCAGGAGAAAGCTGCATGCTGTGTCTGGCTTCAGGTGAGGAAGGTTATCACTTTGGCTTCATGGAACCAACCAGCATGCTTTTTTGCACTCAGACTGGCCACCAAAGGGAAGAGAGGAGAAGTGTGAGGGTGTCTGGCTACTGACTAGTCTAAAAAACAATTTTTACAATATGATAATATAATATAGTTATACCAGTGTGACCTTCAATGTGATGCGTTTGTACTGGTATAATAGCTACAATAATAATAGCTAGTTCTATTTAACTTATAGCAGCACATATACTAGAATAATCACTCTAATGAATACCAGCATAATTGTCTTTGCTAGTGTGGAAAGTACCGCTTCATACCTGTATAGTCAAAGTTGCGTTATGTTCCAGGGGAGAGACAAGGAACAGCCTGCTACCACAACCAGATGGCTTAGGAAGCTTTGGAGAAAGGAGGGAGGCAAGGTAATGACTTCCAAGAACTTTCCTCCCCTGAAGTATGAGTGCATTTTCAGGACAGGAGCAGATATGCAGCCTCCCCCCTCCTCTTCAGTTCCTTTCTACTGTTCTTTGACCTACTCACATCCTGGAACGTCAACCTAACTATACAGGGGCCTACTGGTAAGCTCTACTTAGGTGAGTAGAGCTGCGTTTGGAACACTAGACCTAAATCTTGTTCACTGGGAGATTCTTGACGGTCTTTACTAACATCAAAAAGACCACACTTCCCTTTGATAAGACACAAAGTTTTAATGGTGACAGGAAAGGAAAGAATGCAAAGATAAGTGCTGGAAACTGTCATTTTCAGAGAAAGTACAAAAAGAAGATGGAAACTGCCAGTTCCAGTGAGTGATGCTTGTCTGCTTCTTCCAAGTGCTGGAACAAATTAGTAAGGTCTCGAAATAAAGAGTTTACTACACTGTAAACAGAAAGTTTGAGATACATCTAAAGACACCAGGTAGCTTGAATATTTGGACAAAGTCCAGCGCTATAAAAATGTTTAGAGAACTTTAAGAAGTGCTCAGATGAGTATGTGGGAGGGTTTTCTGGCTAAAGAAAAAAAGTAACTTTAACTGAGACCCAGATTATTAGAAAAGGAAGATACAGAAGTTAAAAACTGCTGCATGAAAAACTGGATTGAAGGATTTTTGCCTCAGTTAAACTGAACAACATTCATAGGAAAGGGAGAGGTAGCTGCTTAAGCAAAATCTTTTTTAAATACAAGTCTGATTTAGTGCTTTTCATCCCAAAATATTAAAATACAAATTAAGACCTACCCCCAAGAAGTAAATATTCTTACATATTTTTAAATAGGTCAACTAAGGAATTGGAGTGTGTCATGTCTGAGGTTGCAGAGCTAGGAATAGAACCCACAACTTTTGTCTTCCTACTAACTGCTAGGTTGCTCTCTGTCATGAGCCTTTGTAGAGAACAGCTATACTAGGAAAACTGGGAGAGAATTTACTGGTGGAAGACAGTAGTAGTTTTTTATATGATTTCTCTGTGTGTGCAGGTATTACCACATGCCGTTTTTAAATGTTGATTACTGTGTTGTTTAAACATGCTTCATGTTGGATTAGACAAGGTGGACAAATTCATTGACTATTCATTGACAAATTCATTGACTCCATGGCTTGTCACCCATCAGCAAAGATCTTAACTTGGCTAGTAAAGACTTAGGTTTGAATGCTGCTAATGTACTGTTCTTCAGTTATTTCAGGAAATAGTGCTTTACATCATACTACCATGCATCATACCTCTGCTTCTGGCTCTTATTAAAATTCAGTGTTACATTCATGTTTCACTTATCTTCCTTCTGGAACAAAATATTATTTTTGCAATAAAGAAGGTTCCGTTTGTTTTTACTTTGATTTATTTTTCCCCAATGCTGTTACTTCTATAGGGCAATCATTCTTACTAATGTCAATGTAAATGATGCACTACCAAAAACAACTTGTGTTGCAACTGACTCAGTAAGTATCTTGCTTAGTGTCAAGCAAATGTGAAGGCTCAGGAGAAAACAGCCAGCTCTTTTTGTGTAAAAAGTAACCAAATAAACATAGTTAAGACATATGGCTGAAGGCTCATATCTTGTTCAAAGAAAAGCTGTTTTCATAGCCTGCATGGAGATCATGACTGTGCTGTACCTGAAAAATTCTTGCATTTCAACCCTATGATAGACTTCTGGAAGGATTACCATAGTAGCCTCTAAAATAGTGCCGTTTCTTACAGCAACACCAAGTCTTACCAAATGTCTTTGAAAAATACTAACCAAACTGCAAATCTAGTTGGCCTGGTTTTTAGAGGCCAAACATAGTCTATGTTGAATATTTAGTGGTAGATTGATTATATGGATTTAATTTTTTATTTCTTAACCTGAAAACATCTTAGATATCAGAGAATTTGGTGTTCCAATACACATTTATGTGTAAAAGTAGGGAAAAAAAGAATCCTTGAATTCTTTACCCACATTTGGCAAGCTTCCCATATCTACTTTTTTCCTATGTATCTGAGGGTTTTTTTCCTCCAACAGCTTTGGTTTAAGAATATGATTGACTTGTTTTTAAGTGTTAATTTGGGAATTTATGTCTTTAAAATAGTATTCGAGAAAAGCATGTAACGCTTAACTTCAAATGCCACTGACCTTCAATAGGGCTTAATCTTATGGTTGAATGTTTTATGGATATGGGATAGCCTGGTCTACAAGCTTTCCTATGAGAACAGTTTCCTCAGTTTCAGTGGTTTGACTGGCTAATATAGCAGTCTTGCTCATTATTCTTATTTCTGCTATTTAAGCACTCTGAGAGAGAACCTGCTTCTGGACCCAATGAAACTGGTAAGATGGTGCACATCTGAAAGCACAGTTTTGTGTGTGTCATATTTGCCATTTCATCTCAGGTTCAGGCTCCTTGAGCAAAAACATGGCTGGCTGTAAGATTGTATTAGTTTCTATTCTTTGATTAACTGGTGGTTTGTTATGCTCTTACGCATGTTGGCAGTATCTTCTTATCACAAAGCATGATTGTAGCTTTTGATAATTCTGCATAAAATACTAAAGAATTAAAAAACCTGAGTTTAAAAAGGGAGAACATTCCTTACCACTTCTTGTCCTAGCAGTTCTGTTTTTATTTCTGCCCTTCTTCAGTTAGTATCTTACCTCTCATCGGGTTGCATTAAGTCAAGAGGCCCCCAGAAGCTAAATAGCTTCTGAAAGCTGCTGCTATGTATGCTGTCCTTTCCTGAAGAAAGCAGGAAGTAATGAGAAGAATCAGAGAAATAATATATAAATTAATTGCAAATCCTAGAGATTCAAATGGGGTTGGAGTTGTCCCAGCGTGAGAATTTCTGAAAGTTCCTTTTCACTTATTGTGCAGGTCTCTAGTTCCTTCTCTACACTTGCCTGGCTAAAGAGCCCTTATTGTGGGGTTCATGTTACAAAACCTTATCTAGAGTTGTGTTGCCTTCTCAGAGCAGTGGGAGTTGGGCACATTTGCACAAATTGGTAAAGACTGGAGGGATTCTAATAATGTTGCCTATTCATTCACCCAAGATTTTGTGGCTCTTTCTAACTGCACAGATACAAGATGCAAACCTTTAAGACATACATACGCGCCACAGCAAACATACAACCTAGTCTGTTTTCTGAGGTTGCGGCAGGTGCAACAAATCAATAACCAAATGGGTCTGAGTTGGCTTCAACAAGGAAGAAACATCTGAAGTCTAGATTTTGGCCATCTGTAACAACAAAACTCTACACATTTAACCATTTAATATTATGTCAGATGAAAGCTGCTTGAGTCCAGTCTTTATGCCGTATAAACTAGTACTAAATAACAGAACCAGTGACTGGGATGGCAGAGGGATGCTAAGGCAAGATAGCACAAAATGCTGCACACTCACAGATCAGATGAGAGCTTATCACTGCCTCATTTGAGCATGATTATTTTTGTGATGCCTAGTAAGTCTTATTTCTTGCTCCCCTCTCCTACTTCCACCACTCAGAGCAGTGATTCTCACCCAGGGACCCAGCTATGACAAGATCTTGTCCAGGAGCTGCTTCAAGAGAAGGAACAGCTGTAACTACTGTGAATCTCTTTACTGGGTGGACAATAGGAGAGTAGACTACAGGCTGGGAGGCTCTGACAAAAAATGCATGTGGCTTTGCTGGCCTCTGTCTTCAACCTTCCGGGGAAAAAAAGCCAAGGAGCTTCTTTTATGCACTAAGAGTGCAGGGTGGGGATGGTAACAGCAAAGGAGCCATGGAGGGGAAGTAAGAGAGGGGTGGGTGGGATCTGGCATTAAATGACTAAGCAGAGGCTGGCTTCTCTTTCTTCACAAACCCCAGATGCAGTAGCCTGTCTTGGAGCCTCAGCTGGCTGTGTACACACCTGCAATGTATTGCTAAACTGATCATTTGGGAGTAAACAGCGAGACTGTTCATAAAATCTGGTTTTATCGTTAAAACCGTTATAATTTGCCAGTTACAGATTTGCATTTATTTGCATGTTTCTCTTGTTCTGTCACAGACCACTGGTTAGTGTGGCATGTAAGCAGGGGTGAGGTTTGAGTGTCCTAACACAACAGTCACTTGCTGTGCCTACACTGAGATTATTAAAAAAAGTGTCAGGGCACGCATTTAAAAAACACAAGCTTGTCATCACAGATGTAGATGTACCCTGAGTGTAATTATGCATTTGTGATGATTGCTATTTTCTTTTTTGACTGGCAAGACATGGTGTAAGCATGAGTATCTTTTGTTTGAAAAGTTGAGTGCATGCACATGTAAGAGAGAGAGAGTAATTTTGCAACAGCAGTTGTGGCTTATCTAACAACTGCCCTAGAGCAAGTTGTTAGAGTCTGCCTGTTGTAATCAATCATTTTGTGATAACTTTGCTACACACTACCTGCTTGTAGGTCCCAGACCTTTCAGCCTAATGTACAACTAAAGGAGACGCACTTGTCTTACTTCGCCAAAAGTATCATATAAGACTTACATTTCTGAGCGTCTTGCCTTTATTGCATGGAGTTTAAGAGTGTGTGCTCCACTTCGCTGTAATATGGACAGCTGGTCATTTGGATAGGCGTCCTAGCAGCTGTTTTCTCTCCTCTGACCAAGGAACATTGAGAGAGTGCAGTTTCAGCACCTAGTCTAAACATAAACTTGCAGCTGAACTCGTGCTTGAAGAAGGGCATCTAGCTCATTTGAGTGAGTCTGTTTTTGTCCTATATGGTTTTGATGATCTTTTGTTAGTCTGAGCACAGATTAAATGGAAGATATTACTACTAAGAGTAATGGTTTCCTCTTCTAGTAGTATGTAGAGACACTTGCTGAGTGGCCACAAAAATACAGTTACAGGGTTGCTAGGAAAGGAAGGAAAGAAAGGGTAATACACGGAAGCCAGCAACTTCTTGCTAGTTGATTCCTCTTTTCATTATAGCAGCTAGATGATTCAAGGATTGCTCAG